CTTGATCCTTGATAATGAGGAACTTGTGGTGGTTGATCAGTTCGCTTGACTTGGCAGCTGTATCAGCAACGATGCACGAGGGACTGCCAAAGATAGAACAGCCTACTTGAATCTGCGACATTTGTGGTGTAAGTTTTTGATTTCTGTGCATTTAAGATGCCGTGTTTGTAGAGCCACGATGGGAGTCGTCTTTCTCTGAGGAGTGAGACTTGGTCGCTTCTGTCGGAGGGCATGAAGCGCCTTCAACTCTTTGATCATTGTTGTATGCGACGGATTGCTACTGCCGGATGACGCATTATTGTGTGCAGTCATGATGTGCGTGGGAAGTACTAGGCGGGGAGAATCAGATTAGTTCTTTAGAACAACAAATTGGGTCGAATAATTCGCGTTGGCTTAGGCACGTGCTACATCCATCGAAACAAGACTTGCTGTTAACGCGGTGCAATGGTTTGCGTACTTCCGTGATCCACTGAGCTACGCTTCGTCGCACTTTCCAAGTGCCTTCAGAGCCACTCATACCAGACAGGTCAATGGTTAGCGGTCAGACTAACTCAGTCTCACAATCCGGTCCTATTCGGAGGTTAGGGAGAGCTCGATGGCCCACTTCCTTAAAAACCTAGCCGCGGGAGACAACAGGTGTACGGGTTATACACTCATAGTTCGATTGGCATAGAGCAAGAGCCCAACGCATGGTCTCTGACGGTGGGAGGGCACTTTCTGGTGCCCATTGATTTCCTACCGACCGCCTCAGTCCAGACAGCCCCGGGTCAAATTCGCGCAAACCCGTCAACTCCCACCCGTAGCTGGCCGAGGTCATAGATACGTAACCTAATACGGTCGTAAAACACGGGTGAATTGCTCCAAATCTTCAAACGCTGTGTGCAACATGCCTCAAGCAGATCCCAATGGGTCTGCAATCACATTCCCGAGCTGCACTTGCTCCATATTACCTTGTGAGTCAGGCTATTGAGCCCAAGTATCCGGCTAGGTTCTCAAACGAATCTTCATGTGCCCCACTGCCTTGTAGGTCTGACTGTAGAGAGAGAGAGAGAGAGATAGGGCATCTAGAACAAAGCCCCTCTTTCTAAATAGTCAACTGAAGAGCATCATCTGCTCTCGACCTCATCAAAACTACTCCGTCTTCTTGTCGTTCTTTCCCCGGTGCTTCTTTACTATTGCTCATTTCTGGTGGTAACACCGGGTGAGCAGTGCTGAGTTTCGCCAGTTGCTTTTTGGCAAACCACCTTCTGGTGCCTCACTCGAGTGTTTGCTGAATCTATATCGCTTACGGTGGCAAAGCCATATCCTCCGTATGTCCGTTGGCCGCTTTCCTCGGCATGCATTATGCGCCTTGGCCGCACCAAGTTGGGCGGAACCACGAGGTGGGCAGTCCATGACGAGGCATAGAAACTTGAAAAAATTGTCTGAGGGACTTTGTCAGGCAGGTGCGTGCCGTCTTCGTGGGTGTGGACCTCGGATTGGTTCACACCAATGTTTGGGAACATGGCGCAGTCAGTAGCCTACCTGCATTCGGTTTTTTGCATCTAATTGTTAATACTCGTTCGCGCACCTACTTGCTTCCATTTTCTCTACATTGTATTTATATTCAACCCAACTATTTTGCCTTTGTTCTTTATTGTTATTCTTGCCATGTGAGTCGTGGCAACTGAATTCACCGCACCTAGGTGCTCGGATCATAGTTGTTCAACGCAATTGGCCCGAACTGCAGACGCTACTTATGCGCGGCGATCGCTTGTCGGATGGCGAAAGATCAAGGTGAATAAGAGTTGACTTGGCGGTGGGAAATATGGTCCCTGACCACTAAACTGGGTTCTGTCTGTCCGTCTTACCTTCCATGCTTGAGCCCACATGACCCATCTTGTGCTCCACCCGACGCTTTACTGATCCTAGCTAGTAGCTGGCGCCAATGGCTCGTTTGCTGTTGTATCCTATTCGGATTGCTTGTTTATGCTACTAAGTTCCCTATGGGGTTCGGGTCGATGATGATGCGGCGCAGTAAATGTTCTCTATTGGATCTGTTTTGTCGAGGTCGCCTGCTTTTCTCACCCCAATTAGCTGTCTGGGACCATGTGTTGTTAACAAGATGGGAGCGTCTTCCCTTCTTAGATTTATTTGGGGCATTTTTGGTTTTATACTAGGCCCCCATCTTACTGCTGACTATGTTTCATGAGGTTCTGGTTATGCGGTTACGTAGCGTCAGTTCACAACACTGATACACTCCTATTGACGATACTTATGCTGACATTCCGTTTCTCATTTCCACCGGATTCGTATTTTTTCATCTCCACGATTGGAACCGTCTTCTTCTTGTCTTTGTCCTCAGGGTCTTCCAGTGTCGAACGCACTGAATTCTTCGGATAGCTACGTGTGCTCACCTGATTCAGTTGGTCCACGCGTTGAGACAAATGACGTGCTCTACCTCTTAACACAACGCCTACGTCGCATTAAGCTGTGCATAAGAAACCGCGAGAGGGAACTAGAGAATTCTTGGGGTCGCAAACTGTGTCAAGCTGAGAAGCGTTCTGATCCTCAGGTACGTTTAGTTGATTTCGGTCTCCCTGATCTTTGTTGTTGTAAGCTTACTCTGTCTTGCATATCGTCCCACATGATGAACGGAATTGCTTGCAGTCTAAGTTATGTACTCAATCCCCATTGTCTATTTGTTCCAGCTACGTGAATTGTTAGACGAGATCGGGGAAGTACGTTCAAGTATACAGCAAGCGAAGCTGTCGCCATCCAAACAACTTAGCCTCAAAGAATACAGTCGTCCCCAATCGGTTCAGGCTGATTACGGACGTCAGAGCTCAGGTAATTTCCCGAGCAACGGAACCGCGGACTATATGAGCAGATCACTTTTACCTGGGTCCGACCTGTCTTCGTCCGTGTTATTCGCCTCCCCTGTGCACCGTCGTAGCCTGGATCAACTAGCACCACTATCAACTCAGGGAGCAGAAACCGGAGGTGCATTTGATCAACGTGAGTCATCTACTAAACAGTTAGTCTACGATTGTACACTTCTCTACGACCCATTGATTGTTTTCGATTATCCAGCTGCATCCGAATGGCGTTAATTCTGGACGGCCAGTCATGGCAGCGTGAAATAATTGACCTAGAGAAAGCTAGAGTTGGCACTTGTGACTTTCCTGATTGTTTTCCACCGAGTACACCACTGGAATCTTTGTTTACATGGCCAAGTAGTCGGGCCAGTGTTGTTCCAGTTTTTCTCCTTTTATCCGCAGCTTATTCTCAATGAACGTATTCCTCACTTTATGTTACCTTGGTTTCCTAACTGGAAGTGAACTGTGGTGCCGTTACATACTGTTCACAGGTATTTTACAGTCATAGTCACTTATAATCAGGTTAACTGTCTTTTTTTGTTCTCACACGCTTCATTGTTTCGAACTCAGTTGCGTTCTTTCAGGATCTCCGAGGAAGACTCCCAGGTGCATCTCTCGATCTGTCAATTTGAAATGACCGCTTTTGTTGCAACGAACGACGACTTCTTGAATTTCAGTGATATTTCTGCGATTTGCGAATCTAAACGGAGATCATTGTTCTAGCAAACCTCATGAAAACTATACTGGTCACTGTCATTTAATAAATACGCATATCACTCACTTGTAACTTTATATCGGATTTGTTCACTTACCCTCGTTGAAATTGTCCTTCTCCTTTGTGGGACCGGTTTGACTATGCTTGTTCTTTTCTTCATTGCAATGATTTCCTTATTGTCCACGTGCAGTTGAATTACTTGAAACAGTGGTAAAGTGTAACAGAAATGTTGAACCTAAGCGGTGCGACTACGGTGGCTGTAGTCAGCTTGAAATATTTGCGGAATTTGCCCATTCTACCTTGTGATCTGCTTGGTCTCATGTTATCCAGCTGTACATTCACGCTTCGTGTCCATATTCACTTTGCGTATGGTAACTTGCCTTCTTTTATTTTCTTCTCTGCTCGATTACCTTTTGTTCAGTTCATTTCGTTTACTGGGCTTGCACACCCGGGTCCCGGCCCGTAGCCTTAAGGATCACAAACCTACCTCGTAATCTGTGGACGTGGGTTCGAGCCTACGTAGGAGATCGGGCGACCCTCTCAGTATCCTTAACTCACACGCGACTAACCTGGTTGCGCGGCATCGAAGCGTCGGTACTGCGTACTACTGCAGCACCTAGGTACGGCGGATCCAGTTACCATGACTCTCTCCGTTCTAACTACTTTAGGCAAGATTCAGCAATATTACTGGAGTCAGTTGACATAAAACTCAGGAACAAGGTGCAGCAAGTGACTGAACCTGGGAGTCTGACTTTTGCTCTAGTCCATCCCAAGACTCATTCTGATATGCATATACACCAGCCCAACCAGTTGTTCCAGTCAGCTTCTTTCTGCCGTACCGCCTACTGGCCACTGTATCTTCGTAAAGCCAAGCGAATCAATGGCGTTACATTTCGAGCCAGGTTATCCACAAACCTGCGATTGTAATCTGGCCAACCTGGGCGGTTCAAGTTCATCATTCGACTCAGGATCGCGCCAAGCCCTCACTGGCTTAGTCATTAATAGTGGAATTATTTCATCCATTTAGTTGCCATGGTTACCAACCGTAATCACAGTCATACTCGCATCGTTTCCTCTGGTGCAGCAATTGCAGCTTCTCTGTGCAACGGTCCTGTGTCCAAACATTCATGGCTTTCACTTTAAAGCAGGTGAATGAGTCTTCGCTCTTCCACACCATCTTACCAACTTCCTGGATGCAGATTTATAATCACATTTGTAGACTAAGGGCGTTCAGTTGCATTACGCTATGTCGGCTTTGAGTGATTGATTCACCAGTAACATTGCAGCCAGCAGAAAGTGGTGTGCTGTGCTTTACAATTGAACCTATGCAAGCCACTTGGCTGAGACCGGTTCTGCTTAGCTCGTTTCAAGCTGCTGTCTATCGTGTTCATGCTTTTCGTTTGCCGTCTTTAAATAAATGCAAGCCGGGTATGTGCACACTGTCATCTCAGAAGATGTTCATGGGTCATGCCGGACAAACTGCTTTTTATCCGAATTTGTGGTATTTTTTGTGTTTTGTTCGTGGATCGATATTGATCATTAATGGGACAGCGCGCTCAGAAAATTATCCAACTTTTGTCAAATCGTGAGCACGCGTTTTTATTGGGAGATCCGAATAGGTCTTAATCATGCTTTTTGAATGCGTGGACCCTTCAGGTCGGTTTTGCCTTAGGGTTGTTTGTACAGTTATTCAGTCTATTCCTTTTGTTCGTGTTATCTAGCTAAAGCTCACTTTGTTCCCGAGTCCCACTGGTCCCTGGAACACAACGCCATGCTTGTTAACCACACTTGCGGCCCATCTCCTTCAAACGCACACCTGACGAAGCCTGAGCATGGGATATGTGGATCGGAAGCATCCCTAAGCGAAACGTATGCGGTGCTTGTCCATCGACTCGCCGAAAAACGCTGCTCGGCCAATCGTCCCGAGGCTTTACACTTGATGACTCCGAAACAGGTAACCAGCAACGCTTGATTTCACCTTTGTCGAACCTTTTATTCTTCGGGACTCGCTACATTATTCTTCTTCAAGTTGTTGACATTCCATCTTAGTAAGCGCTATTTTCTTTGGAACACTTCATTATATAGTCATTTGTCACATCTTATCAACACTCTATTCTGCTCGGATGCTTCCCTCATATCACTTTTTTGTTAGAGTTCGAGAAGCTTGACTAGGCCTGTCAACCTTAAGGTCTTGCTATAACATTAATCGCCAGTAGAAGTGACCCGTCTTTTTGATGAACTGAGTGTTACACTGCTTAATGGTAGAAAAGTTAAACGTCAAGTCAGAACAACTCGTATCCGCCCCTATAACGGTTGTGCAGGTGCACCCACTCTCTTCTAGCAGGGCACACTTCATCTGTACTCGTTTTGTGCATATGTATCCTTTTCCTCCGGATATCTTCACGAGCCACTCCGGTCGGGAAGTGTTTCTGGCACATTGGCAACTGCAGCTCCATCATCACGCTTCCTCTCACCACCGCCTGCATTTTTCTTATCTATTATAGATTGAGGCAGAAAAACTGGCGATTCAGAAAGCGCTCTTATACTTTGAAAGTTTGCACGGTCGTCCCAAAACCCGACAAGAACGTTTGGTGATGCGTCCTCTGTACGATCGGTACCGAGCGGTAAAGAGATTGCTTGCCGCCTCTCGATCTGCTGTCGATGATACACAAGCAGACGGATCTCGTGGCTCTGCTTTCGTCGCAGTTGTTGATGGTCCTCTGACTCCACCAGATGGAGAACCATCACCTAGGTGTTCGAATCTTCACTCTAATGGCATTATGTCTCAATCGGGATTTAATGGTCTTTCGGCGGAACAAGACTTCACGTGTGAGGTTCGTCATGGTGGCCTTCGCAGCAGTTCTGACTGCGCCTGTCGTGAGGTATCGACCCCAAACACTGCACTTCGTCGCGTCAGCCTTATCGCTTCGAGAGATGCCACTGACCTACAATCTCGTGCACCAGCCTCTCTTGAACTCCAGCCGGTTACTCAGACGGACGTGATTCGAGTTGCAAACAATAGTGCTGACCACTCCATCGCTGCCCCGTCAGGCACCTTTATCGGATCAAATCGTTGGTCCTCCCTTCCCAGGGACTCTGGTTCGTCTGGTGCCCTGACGGACCTAGGCGCAGGTGAATGGTGTAAGTCCCTACCGTTCTACTATTTGGCCATTAGTTGCAACGTTCCTTTATCCAAAATGAGGGTCATTAACCGCATGTTGATCGTCTCCACCTCTATCGTACCCCCACTTCACAACCGTGCTAATGATCACAAGTAGTGCGACCGAGCGCGAAACACAAGCACCTTCTACCTTTTGTACTCGCTTTATCTTTTCCTCGTCCGATTCTTCAAGACGTTAAGAAGATTCGTCGCAGATAGACCCATCCAGACAACACACACGCATCTAAGAAAGCGCTTTACTGGATGTGTTGTGGTTGTGTGGCTGGGTTAATCTGCAACGAACTTCTCAAAAACAATAACTCTCCTTACCGCTCACTAATCATCATGACTTGTTTACTTTTTTTCCGACCAACAGTCTCATTAGCATTGCGCCGGTATACCTTATCGACACTTCACTGCCGCACGACCTCCACCAGTTGCTCACGGACTATAGATACTTTCAGGTTGTCCTCACCTATTCAGGTTCAAGTTGGTGGCTTTTGAGTTGCCAGATTGTAGTCTTATCTCTTCGGCCACCGGCCATAGCTGCAGTCTTGTCTTAGCTCACTCGCAGCTGACCACAGTTGCAGATGCACAAGCACACCTGAGCCACTGTTCCCGGACCTGATTTACACTTTCCTGAACGTCAGACTGTGAACCTACCTGTTTCCAATGTTCAGTTAACTCTGCGGCATTCAGGTCCGAATCTTCGTTTGCACTTGAGATTTTTAGCTCATCGTTAAATCCCACCGCTACTGCTTCTCTCTTTCTTTACTTGTCTACTCTTTATTTTGTTTTTCCAAAGGTATCCAGCAACAGTTCATCTTTGACCTCACAACTTGTACCTTTTGGGTTGACAGTGGCGGTCGCACTATGCAATCGCCTTCAAACCCACTGTTCACAACGCGCCCGCTTAACCACATCATCCTCAGTTGGATTTGATAGGCCTCATTTCAATGTTACAAACCGATCTATAGTACTTACACAATTTTTAATAATGATTTGAAGTGCGTTCACATAGCACCAATGTTCCTTCCGGCCCGTAGCTTTTAGGATCACAAGTCTGCCTTGTAATCTGAGGCGCGGGTTCGAGCCTGCGTAGGGGACCGGGCTACTCTCGTAGCATTCTTATACCACGTGCGACCGGTGGTGGTTGTGTGGCAGCGAAGCGTCGGTACTGCCTACCCGCGGCGTACTGCTGATGCCATTTCTTTCCTTGCCATCAACAATGCGTATAACTTGGAGGCCTGTTGCTCGCCGCGTGAACTCACAGTTTGCGAAGCAGCATTATCCATTTCACTGTTCTTTTTTCTTCACTCCATTCTTTTTTCTACTACCCCTGGTGTTTTTGTTCGTAAATTAATTTTATTTTCAAGCGATGTTATTCAAGGCACTGGAAACCGCTCCATTTCGATATCCGAGTCACCGTCAAACGGCCTAGCAAAATCTGTACCACTCGTCATAAACTGTAAATGTTCGCATCTGCTTGTCGTACTCCTTTTCACCTTGTCTTTTTCCTACATCACATGCGTAATGCCCACATGGCTTGCTTGACATTTTCGATAGCAGTTTTTTTTCCAAAACGCATTTTCATTACTTGGGGGTTTCCTTTCCCACTGTACGCTATGCTGTTGCCAGCGTGAACTTTATCCACTGTGTTGTCATTTTTTGTTTCGTTTAGAATGAGAGACGAAACACCTTGGCCTAGTAGTCTGATCACGCAGCGCACTGGTTGTGACCTCGAAGTGACGGTCCGTTATACTTATATGCGTGATCGGTTGCGAACTCCTCGCGGCAACCGCTAAGTTTGTGTCAGGTTGTTATCGTCAGACTTTCCTGCTCCAAGAGAAATCGCACACAATAGAATAGAGTATTTCGTTCCTTAATGATTAATTCAATGCATTCAGCGTATATGTGCGATCAAGTGCGGTCGTTTTTACACGCAATGTTCCATTGTGCTGCAGTGGGCTGCGTGTTGGAATTGGGTTTCAACAACTGTAGGAATCTGAATCCTTTCGAATTTTCTTTTTGTCGTTTCTGCAAACTAAAATCTTAGAGCAAAATGCTCATCTGATTTGCATTTAGTATGAGTTCTAGCATTGACAAAATCAGTTCTTAGGGTATACTTTGTGGATCGAACCCTGTGTTATTGTATAAACGGTGTCTGCCTATACGCTCCTATCGCCGTTACTTTTCTGTACTTTCTATTTGATGACCTACACAACAATAATGTGCGCGACACTAGTGAACGAGTCGCACTGTATCACGTCTGGGAACTTACTTCGGCCCTTCGTCATCACCACCCACGGCCAGATGACTTAAGCCAATACTTCGTGTGATGACAATCATAGCTTCCTATTTGGCAGAATTCCGGGGGGCTGCACACTACTGACAGTTCGCATGAAATGGGCGCCTGGCTCTCTGCCGGATTCATGAGAATCGCGACAAACTTTCCCCAAAACACTAATTACCAACACTTCTTTTTCAGTTTGGTTATTGCATACGCTCACGGATTTTTTTGCGACTTATTTTCAGTCGGCTCTTTTCGGCCAGTAACAAAGCACGGTATCCCAAAAGCAGATCGCCGAATTGATCGACCAGATAAACCACCGTGTCCCAATCCCCGAATTTTCCCGGAAGCCCCAAAAGAGCTAGGCAACGGATCACCCCACAAACAACCTCGGTCCCCAAAACTCGCATGGCATACGGATGTTGATTCTTCTGCATACTTTCATGCGAAGTATGACGTCGCTAACGTGGATGCAGATAACGCCCAGGTTGGGCCAACGAACGAGCACAAATCGAACCATCAGCGGCTAGTTCAAAATCGTCGGACCATCTCATCACCATCTGAGCAAATTTCAGCGCATACTCTTTCAAACAGAGAGTGGGTCTTTTCACCGCTTTTGTGTTTTGTCCCATCTCATTACTTAATCGTCCATCTCACAAACAGTGTACTGCATTAGCTCGTGCGCTCAAACCATGTCGGTCCGAAATGCAGAGCTCTTGTCGTTTCCTGTGTACCAGCAAGCCTGTTGTGAGTCGTCCACGCGAGCTCCTTTTCTGCTTCAAACCGTGACGGAAATGTCTTAATCTGAACGCACGAGTGGTCAGGTATCCATCTTCCATTCCGCTTCTAGCCAGATCACATTACCACAATTTCAGTCATGTAGGTGTGCCGTCCACTCCCACTGCCACACTGCTTTTCGCCTCCAATGCCCGTTTGTTCAACATGTACTGACCAAACAGGACTACAATGAGTTGGCAATAGTCAGTTCAAATATGATGTTAATCCTATAATACGCGTATCACCATACAGACGCTTCCCTGCCACGTTGTCGCCACCAATCACGCGTTTCCTAGGGATACTGGTAGACCATCGGCACCTACGCAGATCCATGCCAATGACTTATTGATCACCTCGTTCTCCACATGTGGACTACGAGGTAGGTGCTCTTTTCATTCAACTGCCACACATTCATTTAAACAACGTTTGCGGGAAATTCTTGTTTTAAATTGCTGCGTATGCACATTGAGGACTTATCATACTTTTAGCTAGTAGATTCTGTATTTTAGATGGAGTACAACCGGCTAAGCAGAAGCGAGCATAGTGTCGCGGCTGTTTACGCGAGAAAGCAATATTGGTTGGAAATCAATGAATTATGAAACTTTAATGTCATTTCTTGATAAACTCTCGAAAACTGTCATTCTGAGGCTGATTTCCATGGCAATTGGCCAATGACTAGCAAGTTATTTTTTTCGATTTCTATATAACCGACGGCACTCAGATTGACTGCTGTGTCGAGCATATCGACGAACGGGTGGCGTACCATCATACCTATTGCCGATTCTGTTTATTCGACTGATGGAGCGCTCTGATGATTTCTCTCCCTTCGGCTCTTACGGCAGCCTGATGTGGCCACAGAACCAAGCTTGTTTCTGTCGCCGTACTGAAAATTATCAGCTTATTTAGATTATTCAATCATAAATTGAACGGAGTGATTTCCTTGCCTGTTATTTCATGTTGCGCTTATAACCGTTTTCAAAGCGAACTTTCCTCTCCTTGTTGTTTGAATTTACTTATTGTTGCTTATATTGTTGTTTTCTTGGGGAAATTTCGTCTCATATCCGTATTTTCTTGCTTACTTTGTCTGTGATTTCAAGTGCCAATTTGAGTGACTGGAGCGTGACCACTTTGGAATCCGAACTGCAAACGGTACGCGAAAACAAACGAATGCTTCAGAAAACGCTGAAAGATTTTGAACACCAATTTGAACGTGCGACTGGTCAGTCTTTTTTCATTTCAATGGATCCATCCGTTCATTTTCGTCTCTTCCGTTTCTCATCCACAGGGTGAAGTACGGATTTAAGAGGTGTGGCATCTACTTCAGCGATTGCCCACCTGTCGTCGGATACTTGGCAATTCCATGGCTTTGCTATTTCTCGTAACTCCTACAGGTAGACAGAACTGCTTTGTTTCGTGCGTCTGTGTACTAGCAGCGCTTTCACCAGCTCATCTATACGACTTTAAAGTTTCAACCTCCTGCAGCGACAGTTCTAGTTCAAGACACTAGTCTTCTGTGGTGGTAAAACCTTTTTCCGCGATCAAAATCGAAAATTCCACGATGTTTCTGCTGTGCTAACCTAGCATTCCATGCTTGCTCCGCGAAAACTAAAGTATGCAGAAATCCAGACATGTTCATCCACTATTTTATGTCACTTCGCGCACTCGGTTCAGAATAGGTAATGGACCACCTGTAATTGATCTTGTGCTTGCCAACGAAAAACATCTGATTGATAATCTGGTTGTAGATTACCCATTAGGTCACAGTGATCATGCACTTATTAGTTTCAACTTCATCTGCTATGCAGAATACCGAGGTGCGGACCATGAGACGGCGCGAACCATCACATGCTACGACCGATTAGCCCACCTCGTCAGTGCCACAACCTGGTCGTTCCTCGCCGAAGACCCTCCGGATGTCGCCTGGCTCGAGTTTGTAAACAAATTCCATCGGCTGGTTACGGATGCTTCAGCGACAAATGTTTGCAAACGGTCTGAGCCAGTTACTTACGTAGGGAACAGAACTCGAAAATTGCTGTCAGTACGCAACGCAGCGTCGCAAGAGGATAGATTATCCCTAACGCCATCCCAACGAAACCACTGCACTCAGCTGCTCAGAGGACAAAGTCGCGTATCAGTAAAACATGGCAAAAACCTTCATCACCAATTACAAACGGCTGTATAAGCACGTCAGTGGTCTACGGAAGGTGAGTCAAGGAGTTCCGCCACTCACGACGGCTGATGGCCCACCAGGAACGGCTACGGAAGAAGCTAACGTGCTGCGGACGCAGAAGATATTACCATCAGATGATCCCCCAGCTTTTATCGCCCGGCCGCCGGGACTCGCTCACATCTTTACCACTGAAACTGTCTTGCAGAAGCTGGCCACTCTACGCAGGCACAAATCCTCGGGTGTCGATACTATTCGCCCAGAGACACTGGGAGCATCAGCAAGTCAACTGGCAGAACCGCTGGCTCAGCTCTTCCAGCGCTGCTTAGACCAGAACCAAGTTCCTCCCGTATGGAAGCTTGGAATCATAACACCCATTCACAAAGATGGAAGCAGAACCGAGACTTCAAACTACCACCCAATTTCTCCTATACTGGTAGGCTATTTGGAAAGGTCTAACATTATTATGTCTGAGCAGCACGGTTTCCTTCAAAATCGCCCGAGCACAACACATTAGCTAATAGCACGCAGTAGCTGGACCCAGTCAACAGACGCTGGAAAGTATGTTGTGATGATCTACCTGGATTTCTCGAAAGCATTCGACCGTCTAGATCATCGGATACTCCTTACCAAGCTACAGCGTTACGGGATCGGTGACCCTCTTCTAAGCTGAATCGCCAAGTATCTCCTTCAGCGGCAATTGGTGGTCAGATTTCGAAGCTCCTTCTCTGACCTCAAAGAAGTTGAATGTGATGTGCCTCTAGGCTCCTTGCTAGGTCCCCGATTGTTTTTGGTATTTATTAATGGTCTCACACAGGCAATTACATCTAACTTCCTGCTGTTTGTTGATGACGTTAAAGTTTGACGGAAGGTTCAGGGGAATATTGACCAGAAACTGTTTCAGAATGATCTAGACACGGTACTTCAGTGGTCCATCCAAATTTCACTGCAATTTATGTTGAGTAAATGCAAAGTGCTCTCCATACGACACCAGAGCAGCCACTGTTACAGGCTGGGAATGCATGTGCTGCAACGAGCTTCTAGTCAACGGGATTTGGGCGTGCTGGCTCAAGATGATCTGCATTGTCCCAGACAATCCTCGAAAGCCTCCAAAGCTGGTAACCATTACGTGGGCCTGTTACGACGGACGTTCGGAAAAGTAGATCGCTCTATTTTCCGGCAGATGCTTGGTGCACATGTTCGTCTTCATGTCAAATATGTAATTCAAGTCTGGCACCCATGGCTAAAACACGACCTTAGTGTATTGGAGCAGCTCCAGCGTCGAGCATCAAACTACGTTATTGGGATGCACCATCTTCCACACGAGGAGAGACTGGAACGATTGGGGGTATTCAGCGGATGTTACCACCGCTTACGAGGTGACTTGTTAATGGTGTATTTAATTCCGCACGATCCACCTCATGCGTGCCGCTCTTTACTGCAACTCAGCAGTAATACCAACTTGATAGGTCTCTCTCTAAAACTGGCAGAACAGTACAGCCGCCTGGATTACCGCAGGAATTTCTTTTCCGCCCGCTTGTGTCATCCGTGGGATACCCTTCCAGAATCGGTCATTTCTGCACCATCACTATCCATCTTTAAAAGAGGTTTGGTTGACTCACTTCCTCACCTAAACTTTGTTACCTAGTACTACATCTCCATCCCACTCCTGGAATATACATTGGATTTATTTCCTGTTATATGCTTGTGCTGTGAAGCTACACTGATCGCAGGACTACAGCAAAACAAACGATAAGTCCCTCTTTAACGAGCATACAAGCACGGATAAGTGCCTTTTTGATGCAAGCGTGTAATGCAGCAGAGTTGCGGTTGCTCACATCGAAAAGACCATTAATTATGTGCCCATTGAAGACACCGACGGCGAAGCGGTGCATGTCCCACTGTTTATACCAATTTCCCCGTAGCAGTGGGGAAATCTACAACATAAACGTTCTCTGTTCCGGACATTGTTCCATCGAGCCAAACTAATTTGTACGCCGGACACACTTGATGCAGGAAGAGATTTTCTGTTCGACATTTTGCAATCTAATGGTTACCCTTTACATTTCATACAGCGCGTCTGTGACACGACGAGGCGAGAACCAATGACGACTCTCCAAAAGAAGCCGGTTTTCATTGAGCTGCCGTTCACAGGTGACAACATCATGAAACTTGCCACGAAACGTATAAGTGCGTCTTTGAAACAGGCGTATAATGTGGCAGAGTTGCGGTTGCTCTCATCGAAAAGACCGTTGCTTCTGTGCTCATTGAAGACACCGACGACGAA